CCATGTTGGGAAAGAGGACCGTCTTTCTTTCTTTGACAATTCTACCTTCATTTACAGCCTACCTAGAGAACCATAAGCATTAGAGTTGGAATAGATCTTAAAAACCATCAAGTTGCATTATCTGTCAAGTGCAGACAGGCATCTCCCCTTAGTGTTGGCAGAGCACTGCACTGGGGTTCAGGACTCTATGCATCCCCATCAATGAAGACGAATCAGAGCTTCTCACTGCAGCAAGAGCTGCACAGAATTTTTAATATCAGAAACATCAAGTCCTGCTTCCATAAAGGAATTTGAATATGGCATTCTAGAGGAGAGGGTAGCAAAAGCAATAGGGAAAGATGTGAAGTATATTCAAACTGGAATAAAAGAAAACAAATAACAATTCTGTGTGGATGGAGAACATTTTAACCACATGACAAAGCTAATTCTCTCTACATATAGTTAGATATACATAGATAGATAGATAGATAGATAGATAGATAGATAGATAGATAGATAGATATAGATAGATAGATAGATGATAGAGTTAGGTAGATAGATGGAGAGACTCAGAGAGAGATGATAGAGCTATAGACTGAATGTTGTAGACTTTGCAAATTAATATGTCATCAGAAAGACTCCATGGTAGGACCAGGGATTTAGCTCAGTGGTTCCACTGCCTGCCTTGCAAGCAAGCACAAGGACCTGAGTTTGATCCCCGGTACCAAAAAAAACAACAACAACAACAACAACAAAAAAAAACCCAGAAAGACTCCGTGGTGATGATGGACTCTGGAAAGTTATTAGGCTTAGATGAACCCTGAGAATAGAACCCCCAAAATATAATTAGGGACCAGAGCTCACCTTCTCTCTCTACCATGTAAGGATACAATGAGAAAATGACCATTTGAAGGCTTGGAAGAGTGCCAATTAGAAATTGATCCTGGATTTCTCAGGTTTCAGAACTATGATAATAAGTGGGTTTTTTTTAGTCAGTTTATGATGTTTTTATAGCAGCTTAAGCTAAGATAAACAACAGACAGACAAATGACATAGTAGACTAATAAGTGGATAGATGGATGGATGGATCACTCTTCTTCAGAGTCTTTGAATAGTCTTAGGAAAAAACACTCTCTCTGTCCATGTGTATTGTCATGGTAGCTGCTACTTGCAGGCCAAAGCTTTCATGTTATAAGACTAAACTAAATTTAGTTTTTGCACTTGATATTTTAATTACTGTCTTACTATAAGATTAAATCTTTTCCAGGGATGGGGATCTAGCTCAACAGTTCTGCCACCTGCCTTGCCAGTGCAAGGATCTGAGTTGGATCCCCGGCACAAAAAAAAAAAAAATTCTTGTTAAGAAACCCAAATGAAAATGATCTTCCCTAATTATCTAATGCATTTCTACCCAGTCCCATTTACCACAAGGACAGAGCATGTAGTGGGTAGAGTGGACTGTCAATCTGACAGGGATGGGATCCAATCAGGAGCTTGGTGGAGCACACTTCCGGGTGTGTCTGGGTCGGATACAAAGCACCACCGTCTTGGGGCCATAGCTGCTCCTTGGCCTCTTCCTCTTTGGCAGTGTTTACCTGCTTTATTTTCTAGACTCAACGAACTGAGTGATTTTTACTCCTTGTACCTTTCCACATGATGTTCCTGATTTGGATCTTGCTGATATGGACTAACTTCCCTGATATTGTGAACTAAATTAAATATCTCCTTTAAATTGAGGGTGTCACAGTCATTGTTTCCCAGAAATGGCAAAGCTCACTAATATAGATCATTAATAACATTTTACTACCTTTTTAGAACTTTGGGAAGGTAAAAGAGACTATAAAACAGAAAGTATTGTCAATAAGTAATATGCTGCAAATTGATTTTTAATCTAAAAGGAAACAGTTTGGCTTGGCTTGGCTTTACTTTTCCATGAGGACATATGGATCTAATGGATCCATATTCTACCTTATGGAAGAATATATGGTAGAATGGATCTAATTCTACCTTACAACAGTAATGTTATTTAACTTATCTGTACATGATGGATGCTTAAGTATTCTCAATCTTTTGTAATACAGACCTTTTGAATTTTACAAAGAATTCTGAACATGAAGACTACATTAAAGACCAGTTGTACATAGATTATTTACCAAATATATACCAAACTTTTGTCTTAATAAACACAAGCCTAAAAACACCAGCATCAATATTTTCTGTCAGCTTAGCAGCAAGACAGCAACATGGATGACTGAACTGACAGCAAGATGTAAGATTAACTTTTGAATTTTTGTTCAAAACTGGTGACTATCTCCTGTCTATAAATATCGTTGGAGTTAGTCTGCGACTTTGGCAAGCCCCTGACTCCTAACCCCCCTCTGGAAAGTGCTAATCAATCACACCCAATAGCAGACATATCTGCTTGCCCAGTTCTCAGCCATGTTGCACCATGGCTATTGATAATTAGGAAGAACTTCCGTGTGTTAAATAGACAATGGCATTGGCATTTTCTCTAAAGTCATCATGCCTCATTGCATGAGGGATGAAATTGTAAAAATCACTCTTACTTCTTGGTTCTACACTAAATGAAGGTTTCACGCCTAAGTCCTTTGTTTTTCAGTTTAACCTTGAAATTCCGTGGTGCTCATTCATTCACTTCACCTTTCTCTAAAGAATTTGAACTTTATTTTGTAAATGCAAAGAGATTAATCACAACATTATTTCACAATGATAAAACTAGTGGCTTAGAAGAGAACTGGCAAGAAAGTAAAACCAAGAAAGAATTTTATTAAAATTTAAGAAATGATGGAGAACCTGAAATAAGCAAAGACATTGGGCATGGAAAGGCATAGTAATTGCTGAGATCTCTTTAGAATAAAAAAAAAAAAAAGAAAAACAGGGGAGAATTGAATAGAAGAGGGCAAAGGGGATTTTTCACTTTTTTAAAGCCCGTTGTTTTTTTGCAAGGGTGGGAAAAGATGTTCTTTATCTGTGAATGTGTCACTCTCATAAGAGAGCTTGACGCCATGCGTCCCCATAAAACCCCCCAGCTTCCATTAAACAAAGTGCTCTTCTTAAATGCCTTCCCTTTAAGACCTGGCTGCCCTACCCCAAGCCATTAGTGGGAACAGAATGTTAATAAGGAGGGACTGTGGTATCTCTAAGAGAGGCTGACCTCCTTCAGCGGAACCAGGGCACCCATTACAGTGTAATGATAAATCACAAGCTTTTCCCTTCCATTATTTTCCCAGAAGACTCTTCTCTGAATGCATAAACATAATGGACGGAGGAAGGAAAAAATATGCAACAGATGAAGAGAAAGGTGAAAAAAGAAGGAAGGGGCAGGCAAACACTCAGTGGACTCCCAGTGGGATTTAAAATAATAAATGCACCACATGTGTCCACACATTTGCATACAGTAAAACTTTAAACTAACATCACAAGGGAAAGTCTTCACAAGAAAAATACATAATTGACCAATAACATGTAAGGGGCTTGCTCTGAGAATTATAAATGAGATGGCATCTCTAAGGAGGGTTGCATTCTAGTAATTATTATAGTCCTAACTATTATAGGCTCTTTACTGCTGCAACTTAAAGACAAACTAATCAGACATGCTGGGGAGAGTATAAGAAGTCACTGAGTTGCTCACAACTCTTATTATTCACCATGCTTAGACTTGCAGCTGAATCCGTGATAACATCATATTCAACAGAAATAGGCTTTCTAGCAGCAAGTTTTAGCTATATTTTCCTCTCTTGATACATAGATCAAGAAATAATACTGAGAAGGTGTTGAGCATTTTGGTGGCCATCCAGTGACGTCAACTGGACATACCAGTAAACACTGCCAAAAACCTGCTTCTATTTTAACACCAGCACTGTATCCCTCAGGTTAATTTTATCTCTAGCTCGTAGGATATACCAGCCAACCACTGAAATGACTTTCAGAGTTCTTGGAAGTTGCCTTTTCATTCAGTTAAAGTGGGATTAATGTGAAAGCATGTTGGAAATGACAAAGGCCTGCTCTAGAGCAGTTGGTCTGAACGTTACAAGGTTTTGTAGTTTATCTACATGGCTCAATGAGCTCACAGTGGGTGTACAGCTTAGTTGGACTGTCTCCAACCTGATCAGGATTTCAGACTCTATCTTTCACTTCTATTCTGCCTCAGATACCAAAAGTTGTATTTAAACTAAGTGCATCCATCTTTGAAATATTATTACCAATATTTGAACTTTGACCTTCACGATCTTCACATTATTGATATTCTATCTAATTCTAGCGGCTAAAAATCTTATAATGTGGATCTGTTCTCATGGAAATAATGACTAATCTGGACAATTAAACTGGACCCCTCAAATCTGTAAGAAGAGTATCAGACAATGAATGTTAAGGGTACTGGGTCAAAGAAAGTCTAGTGGTTCTAAGTTTCCTGTATCTAGTGGATATTAAGATATATTACAGTTGCCTTGAAGTTTATCACAGTTGCCCCATCTAAAAAGCTTCTATAGTCATATCTTGGTCCTTGTCATTAATTCCTTCCAGAACTAGTTATGAGTGTCAAAATCATTGAGTACCAAACCCTATTTTCCCATATGAATTAATGTAATTGAAGATAATTCTTGAAAGTTCCCCAGAAGTTTCACATTTTACTGGGATAATGCCTTTTACTGGGCTCACATAAGCCTTTTATGCCTAGCGATATCATTTCTAATCATTCTGGGAACCATAGTTAGCATTGAAAATGCACAAAATTATGAGATGGCAACAAAGAATATGTGTAGATTCAGCACTGGTCTTGAGTTACTTAGAGACTGAATATCTTGTCAAAATATGACAAGTATTGGGTTTGGCTATATTTGGTTTTGATCTAGATCCACATGGTTCTAGGAAGGGTGATTTGATCTCTAGCTGCAGAATGAGGAAGCACATGACTGAGGCTACGCCAGCAGGTTCATCCTACCGTTCTTCCCCCACATCCTGGCCAGAGTGATCTTTCAGGACTAGATATGTGAACTAACCTTGTCCAATCAAAATGAATTTCAGGACTGTTCTGAAACTGCTCAAAGTTATCTTCTTCCTTCTGCAGTTGTGAATGAGGAAGCATCCAGATGTGGGAGCTGTTGAAAGCTGTCTTGATGGACAGGCTGTGCACTGCCCAGCAAGTAAGGAATAGAAAAGAAATGGGAGATAATTGTCCTTGAGCCAATATTGGGACTCAGAGCCAAGCACTCGTAGCTAACTCTATTTCTGGCACTTTTATTTGCAATAAGGCATTGTATTAAATATAAACTCAATCTGAGTCAGGATTTCTGTTACGTACAACAAATTAAGTAATTTGCTCATGAAGGGTTATATGTATCTCTGGTCTGGATATGGGTTTTGGTGAAAATTTTTATAAACCTGCTATGTGATTTGCCAGTACCAAGTGCATTTCCAATGCCCATAACATCAAGCAAAAAGGAAAATGACACGGAGGAGTGCAGAGTCAAAATTATCTGTCATTTTTTTCCTCTATTGCATGTCTAGTTAACTTTGAAATTCTCCAACATATTAAATGAACCTATTTCCATTATATCAGTCTTTTACAATTTCATCCAAAAACTGTTTTCCGTGCTCCACCTCCTACTTTTTTTTCTCCGTAATTACTGCTTGTTTGGGGTTCCATAGCTCTTTTTACCACAGGTATTTATGACAAGTACAGACATTCTCTCTCTGTTCCAGTGATAATTGCAGTTAGTACTGTTATGGAAGGAGACGGCAAGTGACACACAGAGAGGCAGTAGAATAGAAGTAAAATAAAAAAGTTTACTCCATCGATGGGGATGGATCACACCTAATGGCGGTGCCCTGATTGACTCCTCCGTTGGGCTGCAACTCTTACTTTTATAGGGTTTTACAGCTTTGATCTTACTCAGTTGGTTACATTGCATTTTCACAGATACCCAAAACATGATAGCAAAGCAGTTGAATTTAAACCCGGATGCAGTTCTTTGCTAGATTCACTCAATTGCCTACTCTAGCCAGGGGGAAGGGAGCTTGTTTGATTAACAAAGCTAACAATGGTTCTTTTCACTTACAAACTTTTGTGAGGAGACTAGGTGTCTCCCCATACAGGTTAATTCTGAACTAAGCAGGGTGAAGGACAGAAGTTATCTTATATTGTGACATTTCCTAAATTTTCGCTTATTAAGGTTTTCCCTATCAGTACCACTTGTATGGTAAAGGACCAGATCAACCTTGGCTTGAGCTGAGAAACATTTCCTCCAAGACTTCAGATTTATGCCTCAGATACTTCAAATATTCTCTAACAGTGCTTTCCACCAATAGCTATTTTATATGTGCAAAGTATCCAGAGCTTCCTAATCACCCAGACTGCTTTCCCTTAGCTATGTGCTCACAACCATTTTTCTGACTATACCTCAGTTCAGTAATTCAGTCGTTTTTGAGTCATCATTATTTTCATCCCTTTTCTGATTTATTAGCAGCCTGTTCTCTCTCCAGTATGCCTTTCTTCCTTAATATATTTGTGAAAGACTCTTTAACCCCAGCTGTCCTGAATGTTTTACTGTGCTTGCAGGCCACGGCTTTTGCAATGGGTGCAGTTTTATGAATCTCAAGATGGGCTTTGCTTTTAAAAGCTGCCCTTTCCGTTCATTTAAATAAAATGTCTCCAGCTGTGTTTATACTACAAAACCATTTGTAACCATCTCCTCCACTTTGGCCCTGAACATTTTTTATTCACAGACCTCTAGATTGCAGTCACAATGGCTCATGTTGTTTTACTTTGTTATGAGCCTAAAATAGCACTGACTTTAAATATCATCAGTCATTCCCATTTCTGAGTCTTCTGTTCTAGCCTGAGCCTCGATATCCAAACATTGCCCTCACAAGCAGCATCTCCTTTGTAACCTCTCTGCTTAAGACACAGATGGTTCCTCCCACCACCAATGTTTAGAAGTTCAGTCTCTGTGAGGGGTCTGGCATCATCAGAGATGGTCCCAACTTCCTGGAAGGCCCTCTGGCTAATTATGGAGTAAGAAATTTGGCTCAGGAGAACCAAAAGGAAAAGACAACGATGCTTACTTTGAAAAATTATACTTTTAATACAGCAATGGCACAAATTAACAGTCTACTCATAGGTAAATTGTTTGCTTGTTTTGTTCTCTCTGCTGTTTTGCTTTATCTTCTATTTTATTTTTCCAGTCAACCTCGATGCCATTTCTAGATTAATTTCGTAAACAGATATAGCATAGTCATTTGAATACCTTCCTCCCACAAAGTACAGTGGTGTTATACAATTCTGATTTTGACAGACACTGCTGTGTTTTTATTGTATTTTCCTTTGTGGTAAGAATGTTTGCCAGTTCTAGAAATTTTTCTCCAACTATGCTACAGTATTTGTACATTATTCCATCCAGTACTCTATTATACATTATCAAGTATCCGTATGCAGCATTAGACAAGCTTAGTTATGGAAACAGGAAAAACTGGGACTCTGTGACTTAAAGATCAGGAAAGAAAGCTAAAGAAATAGGGTGTCATTAGGATAATAAATGTAATATATGTGAGACTAAATGATGCTGAATAAATCTTATGAAATTAAGGGGTTAAGATTTTCACTTAATGGAAACAGTGATTTACAAATACCCTGTACAAAGAGACTAGAATATCTCAGTGGAAGTTCTCAATGTAACTCCCTTGCATTATGGCACTGGTTTATCTGGTGGTTGATACCATTTAAATTACTGTTCTACCTTCAACAATTCACTGAAATATGTATTGGTGTGTACAGTGTTCTAATTTCTTTCTTTTTCTTTTTTTTTTTTTTTTTTGTTCATTAAGTTTGTTGGTATAAAGTGGCACAGCATGTGCTACTGGTATAGTCGATTTAAGGGACAGATTTTCCTCTATAGCACTTACTGGTTATATCAGATAATGTTTAATGTTTTCATGTCAGAACCAGCAGAATAACAGAATTGTGTGTATCCTTTTTTCATAATTAGATGTTGCCTTTGCAAGGTGCCTAAAACCATATGCAAGAGTTCTTGCCCATTTGTGCCTTAGAACAGTGGTCTTCATTGCTTATAGTTCTTAAATAACTCAGTGTTCTTTTTAATTTGTTCTCTCTCTCTCTGCCTCTGTCTCTCTCTGTCATTGTCCACCCTCCCACTCTCTCCCATCAACAGATCCTAGTGTCATTAAACTGGCCTTCAGCCAGTAAGTCTGTCTATTGTTAACATACAAAATTTAATTAAAGTAATATCTTGTTGATTCTGCCAAAGTTAGAAAGAATGAAAATTGAAGTTAACAGTGAGTTGATTATTGACTTTTGTTTTTGTTTTGGTGCCCAGGGGGATGTCAGATATCTGAATTTAATATTCCATAGTATTAATAGTAATTTGAAAGCAAATGGTTCACTAAATTTGCTCATGTCCATGGTTGAGTTTTGCAAAATGGACCTGGATTATATAAGATATTAACATTAGGTGGAATTGGGTAAAGGTTATATGAAAACACTTTATACAATTTTTGGAGCTTCTTTGCCAATCTAAAATTATGCAAAAATAAAAATATTGCTCTTAAAAATATCAGGTAGTTGTGCAAAGGTGGGCAATAGGACATCCTTACAACTGTGGCCTTGTCATTTCTCCTAGCAGTGTGAATACCCTTTCTTTAAACAATTTAATTTGTTTCTCTCTTTTTTCACAGGTAGAAATTAATGATCAAAAAAATTAGCTAATCAGTTTTATAGCTATCAATAGTTTATATATAGAAAATATTTATATTTTAAATTTTCAAACAAAATTAGGCAAAGAAACAAAAGTGACAACAAACCAGAAAACTAAAGTTTAGCTTTCTTTCCTTCTTTTCATCTAAAACAAGTTCTCTGAAAACATCTTGGTTCTTGAGTGGGATAAGCATTCATAAAAAGCGCTCATCAGAATCCTCGGATACCTGACCCAGCGTCCCTGACACATTTTGTCCTTGTAGCAGCTGCAAATGCTTTCCAGACGTTGGCTTTCACTTCTGATTCTGCTACCCTCTGCAGGCCACTTGGAAAGAACAAGCCTCTGTGGAATTCTGATGTGACCCTACCCTGGCAAATGGAGGTTCTCGAAAAAACAGTAATGAATGAATAAATTAGCTTGAGCAGTGAGCTGAGCATGGAAGTTGAGACCAAGTTGATCTGCAGCCTGATCTTCCGGACACTCCATCCTGATCAGGCTGAACCCCTGACCAGTGTCTAATTACTACTGCAAGTCACCCTTCCAGGTCCTTACCTGGGATCTGGATTTGCTTTGGCCATGAAATTCCCAAGAAGCAAAACTTCCAGAGGAGGATAATCATATTCTGGCATCAGAATGGTGAATTTCCACTGAGCTTGGTTCTCATCTTGAATTGGAGAATGTCAACTGACAGCTGAAAGTTTGATTTAGTGCGAGCCGCAGACTTGATGGCTATACACATCAATGCAGGGCAGTGACAAGGCACAGGAATGGAGGAGGACATTCTGGAACTCACGACATCCAAAAGCTGTATGGGCTTACTTCCAAGTATCTTTGCAGTTAAAAAAGCTACTGGAGAAAATGATCCTGCAACAATTTATTTTTGCTTCTGACATTTCTCTCTAAAGAGCTCACTTTGAAGATCTTCTGTATGACCAACAGCAGGCATTTCTAACTCCATGAAATGCAAGCTAAGAAACAAAAAACAAGTGAGCAACAGAGAGTAAAGAATGGAGACCATATTCAGCTGAAGGAATTGCAGTTGGGAATTTACTAAATATTGATATGATTTCCCACATTGCTGACCATAGCTATTACTTTGTAGGCCATAGTTGTTGTTATATTATGTTCAACAACAACATCAACAAAGTTGGATGGTTTTCTGATTCATCACAACTCTGTGATCTACCACAAATGAAGAAGGACATATATGGCTTGGAAAGATTTTAAAGGTATAAAACCTGCTTCCAAAAATCTAATTCCATAACTACAAATTCATCCTTTTTGCCCTAAATCATTCTAGTCCTTTCAAATTCCAATTGGCCTTGAAAGAAGTGGCATATTAAGTTTGGAAGTCACTATGTGAATCAGTTTAACAAACTTTTCTTGGAAGATATGAGAAAAGGAGAAAATGAGCTGGAAAAGAAGAGGCAAAGAAGAAATCCCCTCCCCCCTTCTCTCATTGGGGATTGAACCTAGGGCCTCACCACTGAACTATATCCCCAGCCTTTTTTATTTTGAGACAGGGTAACTCCAAGCCACTGAATTTCCCAGACTTTAACCTGTTATCCTACTGCTTCAACCACCCAAGGTGCTGGAATTATAAGGCATGTACCACCCCACCCTGCTAAGAAAACTTTCTGCAATGCATTTTACTCATCTTCTTATTTAATCTTTCCATGATCCCACCTTCATTTTTCCAATGTGGAAGTAAAAACTCACAAGCATTCAACAAATTCCTCAAGAAAACTTGACTGGTAACTGAAGGACTTGGTGTCTAAATCTGCCACACATCTGGCTCCCAAGTGTGCTCTGTTTCCAGCAGTGCAAGCTGAAAGCACAAAACTCCGAGCCAGGAAGTGCAGGGGCTACTGGAAGTACAGTGCCACAGGGCACAGCAGAAGAAACAGTGGCCATTTGTAACTGTGGTGGCTGGCTTCCAGAGTGCTTATGAGTTTAGTCCAACAAAATCTTTTATATTGTTGAGGATTATTTTTTTCAACCCAATAAAGAAGTAGATTAGTATAGTGGCTTAGCTCCAGGGATCTGGATTCAGAGCAAGATCTGGATTTGGACACACATCTTGCTTAATAAGTGTGTGACTTTGAAAACATTTTCTCTCTCTCTCTATCTCTCTCTCTCTCTCTCTCTCTCTCTCTCTGTCTCTCTCTTTCCCCTCTTGTTCCCACATGGCCAAAGTAAGAGCATTAATTGAGCCTTCTTTATAGAATTATTGTGATGACCAAATGAAATACTGAATATAAAGTGCTTAACATTGAGATTGAGACAGAATAAATGCACCATTAGTGTTTGCAGTCATTTTTATAGAGACAGACAAGGGACTAGTATGGACAAAGCTTTCTCAGGAAGGAAACACCATCGATTCTTGATTTTAAAGCCATGAAGCTTATTCTCACAGTGATATTTTAAACGTGTGTGTGTGTGTGTGTGTGTGTGTGTGTGTGTGTATGTGTGATTTTTCCCTTCCCATATGGGGCTTCTCATCAACTCATTACAGTTCTGGCACCTTCTTCACTCTGAATATGAAGCGGAAAAACACTCTTTACTGCAATTTTCTCAGAGAAGAGAGACAGAGACAGGAAGAAAAGGAGTGTCTGAAAGGGCTGCAGGATCCAGAAGCAAGCTTATGTCCATTTGTGCCTCTTCTTTAAGGGTAGTCAAATGTTTCAGAGGCTTTCCTCCATTCTGCACTGATGTGTTTGAGAGTATGGATGGAAGGTGTCAGCAAAGGCCAATGAGGAAACAAGAAGCTTCCTAAAAGACACTAAATCTATTTCTGTTGAAAAAGTAAAGGTAAATGGCACAGAGGAAGTTCACCTTTCCCTATCATTCACAAAATTCACCTGTTCACAGAGGGACATAATACTAGGAAGAAACATTGTTTTCCCAGGAGCTCCAGTTTTATATTGAGGCAAATAAGGAGAAGAAAGGATCATCCTAGGGTCTTTAATGTGGCCAGGGAAAATGGACTGGGCTGAGAGTGTCCAGGAAGAGGAGGGGAAAAGAAAGGGGGCTGAAACAAACAATACAAAGCTGAAACACCCAGGAGAGTCCCAACCCCTTAGCTTGTAATAAGTCAGCTTTTGTTAGGTTGGCTTTTGAGTATTAAGCACTCAGTTCATCTCTATTGATTTGTAATGAGGCTGGGAGGCTCACAAAGCCTTAATCAAGCCAGGATCCCTTTAAAATGAACTCTTCTGCAAAGAGAGCTGGCAGATAGCATCTGTGGGCGAACTGGGCTGGAGAAAGCTCACTGTCTCCACTGTGAGCCTTACACTGCAAAAGAGAATAGGGTGGGGGCTTCATTAGTCTGATAACAACAGACAGGCCACCTTTTCATTAGAGGGACGCACAAATCCACTTTACTTGGCTCTCCTCCTTTACATTATAAAAGCATTACCAAGTCCCAGCTTATAGGCCTCATTGTTTCATACAAACTCCAGGCTTGGAAGTGGCAAGGTGCAGTGTGAACTTGACCTTCCATCTTGAAGTAGAACTGAGGACCCCTGCAAGCCGTTCTAAGCAAATACACAGAATTAACCAGAGGCCCAGCTTCCCATGTGCATGAAATTAAGATCCACAGATAATCTACTGTTTTATTTTCTACTGGTAAATGAAAAATGGAGTAGAGCTTTTAATGTTTTGCAACACAAAGCTATTTTCTCAAAAGTTTATGCTCCTGAATTCTGGAGAGGTTCTAATGCTACTATCTTATAATCTCTGCTATAATAAAATGCTTTAAGCAAATTAACTCGTGACACTGTTGCTATTCTTTCTATATGTTTTACTGTGAAATTGTAGATAATGCTGATAAAATACTACAGTCAATTTAAATCAAGATTCAATGTGGACTCATTCATTGATGTGGTTGCTTTCATTAATATATATTCCTACTTTCAACTTTGGCAGCACTTTTTCAACTTTGCCTTCTCCTTCCTGCTATGCATCTCTTTCTGTTATTTTCTATATTCTCAATCTTGCACCATCTACCAAGCTAAGAAAGTGAAATACTACCTAATAAGCCCCTAGTGTTATACTAGGAACTCTTGAACTCTTTCTCCCATAGTCCTCTGTTTCTAATGATGGATATTTAGCACTACATTAAGTCAGGGGCCTCTTTTTGACATCCTCTGCTGTGTTGCCCTCTCATGTTGTCTCCAGACTATTAATAATAATGTATACTGTATCTCTGTTTTATGCCACAAGCTTGCCCCGACAAGTTTACTTAAAATAAAGAACATTTCACAGTAACTGGATTATGGATTATGGAAAGATTTCAATGCCATTGTGTCTGATGATGTTTGCTTTGGTGAAATGATTTTAAGGAAATTAACTCACATTCATGAAAAGTAACTTTCATTTTCTTTTAAAAATTATATTGAAACTCTCATAGACTAGATCTAGAATGTGCCCTAAAAGTCACATGTGTTCAAAGGTAAGGCTTTTGGAATGTGATTGGATCACAGAGGTAGAGTATTCATCAGTGGATCCATTGCTAAATGTGCTGCTAGGAGGTGGGGATGAGTTGAAAGGGGTGAATCCTTTGGAGAGATGCTTTTGAAGGACATATGTCTGTTCATGGGTCCTTCTTTTTCTCTCTGTTTCCTGGCTGCCATGAAGTGGACAGCTTTCTTCCAAAATGCCCTTCCCATATGTGTTTCTACCCTGGAGCAAGCTGAAAATGGACAGAATCTACACAAATGTGAGCCAAATTAAATCTCTTCTCACTTAAGTTCTGAGAATGGAATATTTTATTTCAGTGAAGGGAAAGGGATTTTTTGAAAAACCTTCACATGAGATTTTTGTTGTAGTCATGAAAAACTCAAATATGAGTTATACTTCCTCCAAACCAAACAACTTGTTTCTTAAGCCAAGAGCAATCTGCTGCTTCATGGGAAAAAAGTTTAGTTTGGAATTGGAAAACTGGCATCTATGCACATAATCAGGGATAAACTGTATTCCTTGCACAACTGAGGCAAGACTGCGCCTTGATCTGGGAATTCCTGAGGTCATAGTCTATTCTTCTGAGTACTTTGGTCATGGTTCAATATTGATGAAATCTACCAGAAATGGTAAAGCCCTTAGTCTACTATAGTGAATTTTTGCATCACCAGGGAGCTAGACATTAGATTTTTTGTCTGAAATGTTGGCCACAGTACTCTTGATCTGGTGCCTTAGGATGTGACCTGCATGGACCACTGTTTAAAAATGTTATATGCTGAAGTAGTTATGTAATGGACTACTGTTTTCAACAGTCAGCATGGTCACATTGGTGGTGTGGCCATGATTGTGTTGATGAAACAATCTGATCCAGTCTCCTTTTTTCCTCCATAATTTAAATTTCTAACTCATATATACAGAGGCTGAGGTGCTAAGATCTGCATAATTTTTACGGGCAGAGATCAGGTGACCCAGCATATTCAGCTAAAGTTATGAAAAGTACACCTCATTAACTTCACGTATCTCTCAGAACATCTCCCTGAAGTAGGCACTGGGATCTTTCAAGCCCAGAATTAGCACGTGTGAAATACACCATTCTCCAAACTGTGACACGACAAGATAGGAAGTGGCATTATGCTTTTCTTCAGGAGCATCTGAGTTTACTAGACAAAAACCTAATTTTATTTCTAAGAGTGCAGAATTTTGGGCACTGCCAGGTACATGCATATAGTGGCACATTTGATAAAAGGGAGAAATCAATTGTCTTTTTCAGCTTGTGTAAATATCTGTAAAGTCTATCAGTTTATTCTCTCTTCATTTTCCCCTGAGACAGGGTAGCAATGTTTATATCCAAAGAAGAGAACAGAATCCCGGTCCTTTCCTCAACTTCTCTTAGGTGGTATTGCCATGAATTCTTCCTGCAAAAGCAAAGTTGTTCTTCAGGCCAAAGTATGAGCTTGAATTAGGAAGAGGTTGCAAAGGTTTTGCATCCTCTGTCTCAGACCACTCC